TCGGTCTCCACGTGTTGGTTGGTTTTCATTTTGAGCCGGGATGTGGCCAATAAACCTCCAGCGCTGCTGTTAGATTTGCTCACTGAATGCACGGTTTACATGTTTTCGTTGTTGTTGGTTTTTTTTGTTTGTTTTTTTTTTTTGCCAAAACACGGGTGCTACGGCGATTAGAGCGAGAAGAGATTTCATGGCGGTTTGAATATGAAAATCTACTAGACTGGTAAGAAAAAGCGTGACTAGATCTGGCAAGGTTTGTTCTTCCCATACTTACCCTTCTAATTATCAACAGCATTCAGTGATACCTCCCCCACCCCCCAGTCTGTTCCCACTGACCCCGAAAAGCCTCATTAGGGAAGTGCTCAATTGAGCCCAAAAGTGTGCATTCTAGGCTATTTCTTTACACTCTTTCTATTCCTGATAAAAGTGTCAAATTCCCGGGTTTTAGTGTACGCGGAAAGTAAATAAAATGACTAGCTATATCCCGGCGAAGTCATGAGATCTATACAAACGCGGTGTTTTGCCAAATCTGGATGGAAATGCTTTTTTGTGTCCGCTATCAAGTAGTTTAACTCTAATGTGGAATTTCAATTCTGTAGGTTTCCGTATGTCTTTTAAGTTAGAGTTTGTGGTTGAAGTATAGCAAAGAAAAACCAACGGCAACAGAACTTTATTCCTACTTGATTGGTCAATGCTTGAGTCTTAAAAGCCCGTAAAAAACCTCTTCCTACGGAGACCGACCACGACTACAAGAACCACATCAAATGATCAAAGCGAACGACCGGAGGGAGAGCTTATGAAGCGGAGCAGCCAAACCCGCAAGGGAACTGCCTTGCAGAAAATTCTTTTCCCCAAGACCGTCACAAGAATAAGAACATTGAATGCATGTGAGAACTTCATACGAGACGGGAAAGTCTACACAGCTGGCTATGGAGATGGACGAGAACGGAGTTGAAATTTTAGGACTGAGTGAAGTTCGATGGACTGCATCTGGAAATGTTACGCCGGTATCAGGGCATGTGTTGGTGTAGTCAGGACCCCCAATGAGCTGGGCAGATGCCCACAGAAACGGAGTGGGCCTAATGTTGTCCAAGAGAGCCGGCTAAGCTCGAGCCTTTCAGTTACTAAATTAAATACGCCGATTATTCTATTAAAATAATGACAAGGATATCCTATACTAGATGAGCTGCAAACAGAATCTGCCAGTCCGTAAACAAGTCATTTTCAAAACCAATTTTAAGGAGCTCACATACTACAAAACTTATCTTAAAAAAAAAAAGTACTTCACTGATTAAAACGCACCACATACAGTTTTGTTATGCTAACCGGAAGCATATCACCAGGTGATATGCTTCTGTGCTAACACAATGAAACATCTCTTAATTCTGGTTTCTATTGACTGCAGTTGACGGCTTTCGACCAAAAACTGGGCGCATCTTGAACTAAAACACTCAATTTTTCCATTTTAGCGTTTGTGATCCATTCAACCCAATCTAACTAGACTGCAAGGTGGGTGCTTTCGCTGAGCGATTGCTGGATATTTTTGTGTACGTACCATATGTGGTGGCAGTCATATTAGAGTCGCGAGAGAGATGGGACGCGAGAACGAAGGTGTTGGAGGGGGAGGGAAGGGGGAGGGAAGGGGCAAGGGGAAATGGGTGAAGAAAAACGCCTGCCCAAATCAGTTAAACCCCCCAAATTAGTTACGCTTGATTATCTTTCCAGCTTTATTCATAATCGATCCTTTGGTCACACACTGCGATGTGCTAAGTGAAGATTTGGAAACAGAATACGAGCACGTTCTGCTCTTATCGAGTTTTAAATCAAGTAAACGTGGTAGGGTCAAGTAAGTTTTGTCTCAGTGTTATCGAGGAAAAACTCTGTTCGTGGACGAGAGGAGCTTCTCAAACCAAAAAAATTATTGCAGTGCTAGTGGGCAGGCGTATTTGTCCTTCCCCTCCCCATCTTCCGTCACTAGTCATTTAGCCTCATTTCTACTCTCTTGCACGTTTTGTCCTCTCTCCCCAAGCCCCTCATGCTGGTACTCATCCGATCAAAATGCACTCGCTCACTATAAAAGCGCCTCGCTTTTTTAATTTTAGGTTTATCACTACGCCTTTCTTCTTTTCGTCGGCCTTAGTAAACCACATCGTGGCATAGCGCAAACGAAAAGAGAGATATTTCGTGTATTTCATTTACAACATTTACAAAATATTTCACTATACCACATCAGTAATAAACGAGTCCATTAAAGGACAGACAGCATTTCGCTTGTTTCACCAAGCAACCACGGATGACATAAGAAACAACTGTCCTCATTAGATTGAACTATCAGGCGAATTTCCTTGGCTAGATTGCTAAGAATTGGTTGGGCATATCGCTGCCAACTTGCTTTCCTTTTTTTCAGTTTAAAAGTTTCAAATGTAAATAAATTTAAACAGAAATTGACAAATATTGAACGATCCAATTCTTCAAATTTCGCTGTCAGCCTAAATCCCCTAACATTAAAACAAAAGTTTGAAAAGCACAAACGGAATCCTGCGATTAATATAAGATTTCATTATAATATCTCCATTTATCACTTTCAAAGTGATATTATTTAGAATCTCATAATACTGGGTTATTTTCCTAAACACGCGAACCAATGAGGTGTTCCATCTAGAAAAAAACTGACCGGCTGGTAAAATAGTTAATTCCCCTTATGAAGAATTAACCTTTCCAAGGTTACCCCTCTCAAAGTTCTTTTCACGGAACGCAGTTAATTCTTCCACGGATGTTACCATGCTCGTTGCGTGGAGGTTCCCGTGGAGGACCAAAATGAAAATATGTGTCAAGCCCTCTGCGCGTCTCCACGTGAGCAAAATCCGCCTCACACGATTGGCTATTTCTTGACTCTACTTGGATTTCCGAAACAGGTAGTGATCTAAAAATACCTTGAGAGAGATTACCTTGAGAATAAGGCTAACATGGGGAACAAACTCTCTGACCCTTCATACTCTCTTGATTAAATACTATGATTGACAATAAACAGACCCAATCTGTGTTTAAGACGGATCTTCCGTATCGATCAAGTCATGTTCAAAAAAAAAGGGGAAAAAAATGTTCAAATGTTGTTGTTTATAGTGGTCAATGCGCTTAGCTACACCTAGCTAGTTCACAAGCATGTCACTTTAAATGAAAGAAACAAATATATCGACTAAACGTAATAGGCTTAAAAATCCCAACCGGCGGGAGGCAGACCAGTTGGCTATTTACAAGCATGACCGAGGCGTTGATCTAGGGTCTACTGAGAAACAACTCCAGCTAAGTGGTCAGAGCGGGACTTGAACCCGCGACCTCCGGATTTCAAGTCCGGCACCCTAACCACTCGGTCACGCTGTCTCCTCGAGTCATCGTCAAAGAAGCAACAGTTTTTACTCTACGATATGTACTCTTAGATAGTGATGTCCTGAACTTATTTTTATCACACTAACCATTTGACTAGGAGTTTTGCTTTTTGCAAATTTTTGTCCAAACCCCCTATCTTGCTACCAAAGAATGTGATTTTACATCGTTTTGTGAAAAGTGTACATGTCAGAATATGACAATTTTCTGAATACACTATAGTTCAAAGGTATCATTATTTTACAACAGAATCAAGCCATGTCTAACTGTTTAAGATGCTTTCTGACAAGTCAGTATTCTTGAACAATTCTCAGAATCAGCTTCTTATGGATTGTTCAGATGAACTGAAGTATCTCCTCGCCAGTTTGAAATGGCTCTTGCTTCGTCCATCCTCTCTCACAAGTAGAGAAGTTTCGTCATTGTATGCATGGGAGCTGGGACTTGAACTGCATGATCCTTGTGGCTCTGCCGCTCCACCACCAGCTTAGTGACTTCCGTCAGGATTTCAAGAAAGTGATGACTGTGATGATGTTCCCTGAT